GGATGTCATGCATCAAACTGCATTTTTCTCCAAACCTATTTTAACAGCAATTGAAACACTTGGCATAAAAGTAAGCATGCTTAATATATGACGCACTTGCATTTCACCGGCTGAATGACTGAAGGGCATAATCGTGCATTCGAAGCCCGGATTACGGTCTCAGCTTGTTTCATTTCCTTCCTAAACTTCAAATTTTACTTCGCAAAACAAAACGTCAGGTTATATGAGTACCTACATTCTATGTTTATTCATTCCTTTCTTTGACCGTCTGTCATCTCCTACATTAGTAGCCGGCAGATTCGAGGGCGGAGTTTCTTCTCCGTTTTCGCTGTCATTATTGGCCAGTTTCACATCATTGTCCTTCTGATAAGCTAATTTCGCATAATACATTCAACCCACACTCTAGCGAACAGGCTATCCCAAATCAAAGTAGACAAATGAAGGTAATGTTTCCGAGGCCCACCGTGATTAAGAACTCTGCTTTCACAGCAGCAACGCCTGTTCTGAAAGTATTGAGTGAGATGTCTTGCAACTGCTCCGAAACTGCTTCGACGGACATCCTCAAATAAGTTCGCAGCCTGAGATTAGATCCGAGATACACACTGCGACCTACGTCACGTTCCAGGTAATCATTGCCTCGAGACACAGTAACAACAAGAAACTTACATGTAAGTAATAGAAAATTTATTCGAACCTAATAACACCAGTCACATATTTACAAACAAAAACGAAAAATAAATAATGTGTGAAGCGAACTAAAGACTATAGTCCACTTCCATTCTGTGCAGAATCACTTTGTTCTCTCCAGTACCTTTCGTTTCGAGAAAGATGATCTGTATTCCATTCGTAATTTCGTGTGTACCCGCATAACATACATTTCCTTTGTATAACCTTTCGCTGTACAAAGTTTAATTCACATCGTTTCACCTAAAACAATAAAAATCGAGAGAGAGCTCCAGTTCCGGAGAAAATAAAATAACATGAAGTAATGAGGCTCGAATGCACGCCGAATGCAGAAAATGATGAGATGTACCGCTCAAATTCTAACGACAAGACTGTAAATAACATAATATAATTTCCCACGCAGAACCGCGCTTGTGCGTGCGTAAGGCGAATTAAGGGCGTGGGCTTTCTTACTTCCTGGTGTCTCCTCTTTCGCCTTATCACGCAACTATCACCACTCAAAGTTAAAAGCAGTCCCCGCGCTAAAGCAACTACTAGGCGTCCTTCCTTGTACAACTAGTCTGGTCCTCAGTCTCCGAGATTATCTCACTTTCGCGGCTTCACAATAGGTACCCAAGGCGCTGTGGCCCTCATGAGTGGCAGTGCTGACGCCTCCCTAGTTGTACCGTCCACTGAAACCTAAGGCAGCGTTCATAGTTCGCGACAGCAGCGGCGATCGCCAGTAGGAGGACCAGTTCGCCCTAACACAACTAGATGGACGGATTGAAAAACTTGTTGGAAAGGTATTTTCATGTGTGGTTTTTTCTTTCTTCCGCCCACTAGTACTCTCAGTGAGGGGGGTTATTTGATTAATAAGTGGGGTGCAGTTAAATAATAGGTTTCTAGATCGAGATATCAACCAGGTTTAAAATTGCACATAGTTTCATATTTTCTACTCTTTCTCTCTTTCTGCTCTCTCATTCCTTCTCTTGGTTGATGTTTCGCAATCCTTTGGTCTGAGTGATGTGAGTACTCGCTTGCTTTGCTGGTCTTGCTTTTTATGGTTTCGCAACCCTTCGGTGCTGTTTCGCAACCCTTCAGGTGCTCAGTGACATTATGGTGGCATTCTTGGATCGAAATGTTTTCTTTCTTCTTCTACAGCTAAAACTCGTTATTACTGTTGTATATCGTCTTAATTTGTTTTGTGCCAATTAAAATGTTCTTTCCAGGATCTCCTTCCGTTGCGTTCGCAAACCTCGACAAGGGAGGTCGTTCAGGGCGTGGTGAGCTTTTTCAAAATGGTCTTGTGCATATTGTAGGGGCACATACGAGGACCAGAAAACTGAGGTTCATTTTCGCTGCGCGCTTCTACGAATAAAAAAAACGTAAAAAATAGGTCGATGGTTCGGATCCCACCGAGGACAAAATTTTGCTTTTCTACAATTTTTCATTTTTTGGATCCATGTTTGTCTAAATAATTGGTCCTAACAAAAACATTCACGATAAACTGAACAATCCTACTTTTATGGAGCAAAACTGCTTTTTCGTTCGAATTCGTTAGTATGCACAGACTCAGCTCTTCGGCACTATGCCGGTGCCAGATGGCACTGGAACCGAAAATAAAGTCTAGAATCGTGATCAGGACTGTCGATTACCCCTAGGAGCAAGTTTTGAGCGAAAAAAATTTTTTTGACTTTTTCGGGTTGTAGGTGACCATTTGGTCGGCAGTGTGAGCGGAGTCTCACATCTTCGTAACAGCGATGACGTATCGTTGACGCTACGGACACCGGACAACCCAATAAGCAAACCCAAGAAGGTCAAAACAATTGTTTTGACTGAAAATTCGTTTTTAGTGGTAATCAGTGGCCCTGATCACAAATATAACACCTATTCTTGGCGTCCACGCAATTTGGCCCGAACCCTAGAATAGCGCTCAAACGTTCCCTATATTAATGTACATAACGAATTCAGTGGAAAGAAGATGTGGCCCCGAAATTGTCTATAATTGACACCACACCAGAAGTTACTAAATTCGCAATCAGATCCACTGTATAGGCCTATGAGGACAACGTCAGCAACCAATCTGCTTGTGCGTGAGAATCGAACAATAGTTGAATAGCGCGACTCATGAGGTGCAGCTACTTTAAGAATGGTGCCCATAAAGGCAAACTATTCCGAGTTAATATTTCATGCGGCAGAGACACAAATGGAAGCGAGAACAGCGAAATCTAAAAAATGCAAAAAGCCACGACGCAAGGGGAGCCGAACCATCAACCCCACCCTCACTGTCCGATTGCGAAACCTTCACTCTATCCGCTAGGCCATCCGATGCTCGACACTGCTAGCGCTCTTATCGTTGATGAAACCATGCAAGAAGCCGTTCACCCTTGAGCACATGACCCAAGTTGGAAGCTCACTTGCGGCGATTTTTCGCTTTCTTCCCGGACCGGATTCAAATAGCCCCTTTATAAGGACCCCCCCCCCACTCAGCAACTGGTCAAAGTTGCAAGTGACCTACGCCGTAAAGAGGCCCAGAACGAAGCAGATTCCAAAGATTTCTTTTCACTCGTTTTTTACCTTTCCTGGAAGCGCGCAGCGAAAATGAAGCACACTTTTCAGGTCCTTGCGTGAGCCCCTACAATATGCAACAAACCGTTTTCGAAAAGCGCACCACGCCCTGAACGACCTCCCTTGTCAGCGCCTATAACCAGGTAAGTTCTTATCCTTGGATTTTTCCTCTTGGTTTGATTCGCTACTTTTTTAGAACTTGTTCTTCGATTGGAAATAATTCAAGTTTTGTTCGACAGATTCGTGAGTAAGTTTCTTTCCCTTCAAACCAAGGGAAAAGTCAAGGATAAGGAACTCACCTGCGCCGTTATATGCGACTGAGATTGGAACGCAACGGAAGGGATCCTGGAAAGAACATTTTAATTGGCACAAAAAATTTAAGACGATATACAACAGTAATAACGAGTTTTAGCAGTAGAAGAAAGGTGAAATTTCAAACCGGGCTGATATCTCGATCTACAAGCCTATTATTTAACTGCACCCCACTTATTAATCAAATAACCCCCTCACTGAGAGTACTAGTAGGGCGGAAGAAAGAAAAAAACCGCATGAAAATACCTTTCCAACAAGTTTTTCAATCCCATCTAGTTGTGTTGGGGCGAGCTGGTCCTCCTACTGGCGATCGCGGCGATCGCCGCTGCTGTCGCGAACTATGAACGCTGCCTAAAGACTTTCCGTCACGATTTCGGCTTTTACATCAGTTTTTCGCTTTTTTTTCTTTTTACTGTTAGATGACGTTGGCGTTGCATGACGCGAAGAAACGATTAGTGAGCCAGAGGCAGCAGGATATCGCTTTGTTGGCATGAATCGAAGAGGGTAAAGGAAACCCGGATTAAGAGGGACTAAAAGGTCCTCTTTTACGGTGCTTTCTATGGTTTCTTGCCTTCTTCCTTGGAGAGTCGCTCATCGACTGTAGGTTTCCAATCGAATGCCACTATTCACAACACACCGTCGCGGAATTACCTCTAAGAGAGCTAGCAGAGGAGCAAACCCCATGAAATTTTTCAAGCGGAAAAGTGATAGCCGTAGCAATTAAGCAAGGCGTGGCCTGAGCGCGAGTGCCTCGCGCCTTCCTCACGTATTTTTGAGCTGCGAAAGTAGCAAATCCTCTATATTTGTGGACAGGACTACCATGTCCCAAGTTGCATGAACATCAAATAAACGCGCAGCAAGCCTTCAAAGACAAACTCCGCGATATTATATGATGTATAGTGACAATTGGCGTCCAATGACGAGCTTAAAGTCGCTAAACAGAGGAAACAATAAAGCAAAAGAAAGTTGTGGATGGAACTGGCAGCCTTGATGTACGAACTGTCCGGACCTGCTCATTTTATGCCAGTAAAGCGATAGACTGCCCCCTTGGCTCACTAATCGTCTCTTCGCACCATCCAACGTTGACATTATCTAACAGTGGAAAAAAAAAACGCAAAACACGTCGAGAGCTGAAGTCGTGATAGAAAATAGCCTTCGAGTTTTGACTGGCAGTAAAACTAGAGAGGCGTCAGAACTGTTACTTTTGAGGGCCGCAGCGTCTTTGTTACTTAGGCATTGTTCATTGACTGCGATTCTGACGAAACGGCGGTTGGGCGAAAAGCAAAAAAGTAGTCATCGATCAGAGAATCGCCACAGCTCGTTTCGCCTAAGCAATAGATGCGTATCGATTTTGCTGGCGAAAAACGCCAGGGCGGTCGAGCTAGCGTTTCGCGAAGGCGAAAAACGCCGCGGTTCGGCGAAACGCCCATCGATATGTATCAGGGTTACGGGGCTGTTGTCAACCAGACGTGCTCTCGCTGCGAGGGTCCAGGGTTATTTTCACGAGGCATCTACCAGTCCAGTAGTTGAAGGGAGAAGGTAAAGGAGGAGGGATCAGAGAAGGAAGGAAGGAAAAGAAGGAGGGAGGAAAGAAAAAGGGAGAGGAGAGGCTTCTCGGTTGACATGTGCCCTAAGACGACGTATCAGAACTGTTTCGCCCAACCGCCAATCGATCAGTATATCGAACATATCGAAAGCTTTTTCATCGAACCGCTTCTTTCCAGAGAAACGCTGGGCCACAGACTGTGAACAATGCTTTACAGCGAAGCCGTGGAAGTTTTAGAGACTGAGGGCCCACTTACTGAACAAGGAAGGATGCCTACGAACCGGTTGAGCGCGGACAGTCTTCAAAGAAAAGGAGGCGAAGTCAGAAAAACGGACCGTAAAAGGCAAATAAAGTCAAAAGTTGAACAAGACTGACACAAGTGAACCTACCTTAGCAACAAACACCTGCTTACACTTCCGGCAAAAGGACTGCCCAATATCAGGTTTAACCTTCACGCGCTCTGTTTTCAGCACATCTTTGAACAGTTTGGCATACCGTCGAGCAAGTTTTGCATACCCGTCATTGATGCCCAAACCTGGAATAGGAGAAGCCAGATAGTTTAACCAGTCTAATGTGAAACAAGATTATTACTTTGGCATGATAAATGCATAGCTCCTTGGTGAAGAAGATTGAGACGCATGTGTGAATCGAGGACATGAAGTCGAGCCACTGACTCGCGCTTCTCGGCAGCTTGTTTTCCTCTTTTTCTCGTCGAGTCACCATTGAGAAAGGCAGTGCTCGAGGAGGGAGTCAATATCGAGGGTTTCGCGGTAGTAGTAGTATCGTCCATCTCAACAATATTATGACTAGTATCGTTTTTGTAATGCTATGATGACCAGGCTTGTTATTGGTGAAGCCGCTTTAAAGGTCCGAGATCGTCGTTATAAGGATTTATTACGAGACTGTGAAGTACAAAACGCAACTTTTTTTAGGGACGATCAAGACAATCGTAATTTGGTCGCGCGCGGCGACGGACTGGCATTATCCTAGAATGCACGGGCCTGTCAGGTTGGAGCAGTGGACATCGAGAAGACAACAAAATGCACGCGCACGCGACGCCCACAAAATGCACGCGCACGCGACGTCCACCAGCGCGGCGAATTACGATTGTCTTTTAGCCTGTCCGTGCTTGTATAAAGGCATGTTGAATCAGAGAAAAACTCAGCTTCCGTTAATGGTCTGCTCTGGTTTTACGAAGTAGATAAAAATCGATTACATTACAAATAAATTGTTCTACGAATAGGTCAATATCGCGCCGATCTCTTAGAGAACTTGAAATCCCCTGCTACTGTAATATACGGCCCTACCAGAACAGG